AGAGAAATAGCAACAATGCAAATATTAATATGTATTAATATAAATAAAAATAATCAACAACAATGATGTATGGATACAGGTTTTCCTAACAATCCCATCAGTGTATCATATAGCTTGGTGTCATGACAACATTTGGAGTCCAGAGACGACATGATTAGTACATATTTATTCTAAAACACACCAAGCTCATTACATTACAGCTTATGCACACGCCATCCATGTAATTGCCTCCAATGCTTTTCCCCAGTGCAAAATATTATTTGCTGTAGGTCCATAAAAGCAGCTGGATGCTGTCAGATAAGACTTTATTAGAGATAGACCATACTTTTGTGAAAAAAAGAAAAAACTAGTGTTCACACACTGAGGTAATATGTAAAAGGAAAAAGAGCATGGGAAACTTAGTTCAAACAGTTTGAGGGGGAAAAAAAAAGAAGAAAAGGAAAGCCTAAACACTAAGCAGCAGCGAGGCTAAGTTCCAAACTAGCTCATTTCATGAACATTTTGCTTCTAAACATCTGGACTAGAAAACTGAGCACGTTCAAAAAAACCAAGGCTTCTCTTCAGAGTAAGCAAACAGTGGGAAAAAAATGCAGGCAGTACATAAATATAGTGCAAAGGAATTTGTAAGAAACAACATACTATTTCCCTATTCCCAGGAAGCTGAAAGAAGGCTTGCCCATGATGATGGGGTTTGGTGAAGGAATCTCTGGGAAACAGAAATTTCTTGCATCATCATCCCTCTAAAAAGCCAGGAGACTTAGTGATCTTTTCAACTCTATGCTAAATGGAAGCCTTCCCTGCCAAGGTAATCCCTCCTCCCAGGGGTGGTACAAACCAAACACAGGGATGTCTCCTGTCATTCCCAGCTCTAAATATGAAGGAGATAATGGTTTTCACATGTTTTGTCTATATACACATCCAAAACAGAAATTCAGGGAGAAAGTTGGAAGGAGCAAGCCTGTGTCTCCAGTCCACCACGTAATAAAACATTGCTGTTGATCTTTTTTTGCAGAGCTTAGGTACAACGAAATCTGACCCACCAAGGGGTAACATTTTCCCTATGTGCCTGTGCAAGAGGTATGCTCATTTTTTGCATGTTGCTATTTAATGCCTATTCCAATGAAATAATTCCTGTTTTAAGACTATTTTAAGACCTCTAAAATAATTTAAAAGAACTTCTGAGAAGGCTATATTCAGCTGTAACAGACTGGTTTACTAGATACATGGCAGGGCTTTTTCTTTAACCACGCTGTATAAAAACACACTGCAGATTAATAAAAAGCACTGCAGCTAATGTGCTTTGTAAATTAATGCATCAATAACGGAAGTTTATAAATGTCAGGCTGGTACATTCATAAAAATGCCACTAAAATGCTCACCTGCATCCTATCACCATTCAGGCCTCCCGCCGGGAGGGAGCTCTGGGCTAGCAGGACCAGAGGCTCTTCACGCCCTTGTCTTCTCCTTGGCATGACCACGGTTTTGGTCAAGTGCCTGGCTGGAGCAGGGAGACCCCAGCACCCTGCCCAGGGGTCTCTGACATGAGAGGGTGGAAGCAGAGAAAGGCAGCGTGGGTTGCAGTAAGACAGAGGAAGGGTTTATAACCTGTCTGAGCACCTGTGACCGCTGTTCCAGTGAGAAGGGTGAAGGCATCCCTGCCCTGGGGACTCCTGTGGCTCTCTCTAGCCATGCAAAAGCCGTGACAACTTCTGCAGCAGGTAACTTAGGCATTTTCTGGTTTCAAGTGCTAAACAGATATCCACTGCTACCACAGAAACAAGCCAGCTTTAAGAAGATACTCCAGCCTTAGGACACAGTTCAAAGGATCTAGGACTGCCCTAGGGAAATGGGGGTCTTTTGATGTGAGGTGTGTAAATAGAATCAACGAGATAAATCTCTTTCACCCTGTGCCCAGAAAGCTATTGGGTTCTCTCTGCCAAGTTTTAGCTGTCCTCAAAACGAGGCAACAGGTGGGGTTCCACAGGAGATGCTGTTTACCACAGCAGCAATGACAATTCTCAAACACAGAGCAATAAACATACTTAAGTTCACACTAGCAATTGGGGACCTAGATGATATAGTCCCTTCTAGATTACGGACAACATCTTCATCTCAATCTGGAAGCATAAAATAGGCAAGTAAGATTGTTAATTTTTAAAAATTTATTTCATTCTTGCCACAGTTTCCACAAACACATGAAATTTTTAGTTTCAGTACCTACAGCTCATCTTTTGGTACAGCTAAAATAAGGAGCTCCGTTTATGTTGGTTGAGAGGAGAGTGAGATTCAGGATTGAATTTTGAGACAGCTGGGACAGATTCAAGGTTATATTTGCAGAACATGAAATATTCAGAGCCAGCCAGTCCATGGCTGACTGTGTTCTGCTGACACATTTCTGGATTGAAAGCAGAAAGCCAAGCTAGAGACTTGCACAGCCAAAAGGCTCCTACTGAAGAAGACAGTCACGTAAACTCCTATGATCTCAAACTGCTCAGTTCCAGGCTATTGCCTCATTTGCCAAGAAATAGCTTAAGAAATATAGCAGTTTTCAAGAATGTGAGATTAATTTCACTCTTTTTGTGAAAGTTATGTCGTCAGTGTATCAGATAGTATCAGTAAAACCCAATATGCAAAAATTTAAGCATAAAAATTCCTCAGTGTGGCAGTGGAAATCAAAGTAACATCTGTGATATCTTACTGTTGGCAAGTCATATTTGAATGCAATGAAACCTGAACAAGAACAGAGCAGAAACCACCTTGCAGACTTTTTATCACTGATGGCAATATATAAGGCAATACAGGCCAGGACTCTGCTTTTAATTCAAACCAGTATTAACCATGCCCTGGTTAACAGTCTTCCAAGGATGTATTTGTTAATGCAAAATTTCCATGTTAATTTGAGTTACTACATACACTTTCAGTGTATTGAGCAACAAAGTCTTGTATTTGACTACAACCCTGTTCTCCCACTGTGAAGGGAGTAAAAGATGTGTATCTCATCTATCAGCTTCCTTCTTACTAGATAGCACAAATAATACTAGAGCCTAAAAAATAGCAGAATCAGATTTTAATTCATTACAAATTTCACTGAATACACCAACTAACTCAACCAATTACTTTCACATAGAAATGTTAACAAGATTGTAACAAGTTTCAGTAACAACTCACCTGGGACAGATTTGAACGAGGACCTAAAGGGGAAAAGCTCTGTATTTCTATTGCCAACTGTTCAAGCCAAGCCGTTCCACCAGTGTATTTTCTTTCCATGGAAAGAACCAAAATCCAGTATAAAGTCATAGAAAGGGGTACATGACTAGAAAGATGATTCTCAACTAGGATGAATTTACTTTACAATTTAATCGAATTATCTGTTATTTTAGCCATTTCATGAGGTCTGGAGGAAAGAATTCATTGTTTGTTTCCACCACTGGCTTTCTTTTTCTTTTTTTGTTTAATTTCCTTAGAGGATAATTGGCTCACAGCTGCGTAAGTCAGGAACATATTTCCATCATCCTTTCGAACTGCCTGTTTTGAGCTTAGGCTTCTCAGAAGCACTACAGGATTATTTGATACTAATATATGCATATGTTCCTGACACACAGAATTAATGGGTACAAGGATAGATAAACGCTGTTCCCATTACAGAGCAATGTATTCAGTCAAGGGAAAAATAAGTATAAAAATAACAGTCAAAACATATGGAAAGCACCAAAGCACAAAACACCAGTCACTCAAGTCAAAGGCACAGCCCCCGAGGACCCACAAAGCCTCACTATGATGTAATTTCATGAACTTCTCATGAAAGGAACTATGTAAAAGGTAACTTACAGCTCAGTTACATCTTTGGGAATTCCTTTGGGCAATATCCGCAGCCCTTTGTTGCTGCAGCGTACCACCGAGTCCACACAGGTACACTGGGAAGGGCAAGGAGGTGAAAGCAAGCAGCTGCTCTCATCATTACCTGAGAGGGAGAGAAACAGTATCAGGAAGTCAGCTTTACAGCCTGAAGTCATGCACTTTGAAGATAAATGCTTACGAGGATCAAGGAGGGACACCCCTGAATCCGTGGTAACCATCACAATATTTTAAAGTAGATCCAATGCTTTGCATCAACCTGCCTTCATACAGATTTAGGCAACATGAACAACAATTCAAAAACTGAACAGCAATATTTTTAAATAAATATTTTTCTCCAAGGAGTATCTACTTCTCTGTAATTTTGCAAATTACAGTAAGATCAGTTATGTGAATCCCAGATCCCTCCCCGCCCCCAACGTACTAGCTGAAATAGAGAACTTGACCAGAACGTTGCCCTTACATTCATCTAGACAGATGGCATTCACTATCTACCCTGCTTTAGAAAGATATTTTTTTAAATTCAGCTTTTAGATGTTAATTTTTTACTTTTTAAAGTCAGCCTGGCACTTCGTTTATCATTTGGATTGTAAAACCTCATTGTTTTTGACAAGGATAACCAGGCAAACAACTAACCGAGCAGCATATTTCCAACTGCTGGCGATCCGTCTGTGCACACATAAAAATATCTCCTTTCTCCAAAAGTGGTTTCAAAGGTCTATAAACAGCAGATTAAATCTTGTAATTGAAGAACAATAGGGTTTTTGCAGAAGAAACCAACTCTTTGAAGTTAAGAACATTAAAGCATGGATTTTCCCCAAAAGCAACAGGCTTTGCAAAACATAAGACAAATGCATGCTACAGTATCCCGACGTACGTGAAAGGAAACACTTAGTGGCACATTCTCTAGAAGACAGTGAGAGAAACCACACAACTGTCTGTGAGTACAGGCAGCCTGAGCTGACCAGCACGGAGACACAGTGCTGCAACCCAGCAATCCAGTGCCAGCTGTCGTTATGCGCTGCCTTTTTTTTTTTTAAACTGATGCAAGGACTAATTGAGACAGATCTGTTTCTTTCCTCTTGCTGCTGGATGTACCCATGAGCATTGAGATTAAAGAATAAGACTGAAAGTCCTAATGTAAATTTACAAATTTACCCATAAACCTATAGGTGGGGAATCATTTGTATTCAGAGGAATGGAGAAGCATGACCAACCTGCAAAAGAACAGGGAAGATTTTTCTTTTTTTTTTTTCTCTCCAGCTAAGCTTAATGAACTTAATGACAGGAAACAAAATCCAAAGTCATTCATCAACCCGCAGAGAGAGCATGCTTCTTCAGCATATTTGATTTTCCCCTATGTTCTGTGTTTTACACCCTGCCACCATCCACCACTCACCTCGGCTGTCTGAGTGACTGCATGATAGGCAAAGCTTCCAAGCGTGGAACATCATTTTGTGGACCAGGATTATTTTATTTTTTTCCTCCCAAACTAAAAGTGAGTTATTCTTTAATGACTAAACTTGGGTCCCTTGAGCTCTGAGACCAAACACCTGGGCCTGTTGCCAGATTGCTCAGCTAGGACAAGAATTAATTTCTACTCTAAGTAGGAAACTTCTATCACTCTTATGGTCCCTTTAGAGGTATGACTAACTGCCGCTCCAGCATGTCTAGCCTTAACGGCCAATCACAGCCTACAAGTCAAATTAGCAGTGCATCCATCAGTCATTTTTTCTCCTTACTATTTTCTCTAAAATCTGCTTGATCAAAAGACAAAGATCTACCTGGAGAATGAAAGAAATGTCAGGATATATTTTTTTTAAACCTATATAGACTTGGAAAAGCATTCAGCATCACTGACTCATTTCAAATAATCTCTAAGTTTTTTATATCCCTGTACTCATACCTGTTATTGGTGAAACTGAACAGTATCCAAACCTAAAAGACTTCCCAAACAAGCACCATCCTCACTGGCTTCAGAGTGGTAACTAAGTGTACGAGTAAGGATGTGGGAGGAAGGGCTAGGATTATACTAGTATTATACAAAGCAGAGCATCTGTCTATAATAAATTTATTCTTATATTTAGATGTAGATAGTAGAAATTCAGAAACTGGAAATCAAGAGTAAAAATAAACTCCTGATAGGGAACAGTGATTTTCAGCTCTAGAGGGCTGTCTTCCTCATCACTAAACTGAAATGCTCACCATGCAGTATTGCTTGATAGGAAAGGAGGTCCTCACAGAGGTGCCAACATGATCATAAATGCCAAAGCGAATTGGATTTTCTTACCATCACAGGTAAAGTCTTGGACATCTACGTCTTGGATTGGAATATCCTTTAAGAAAAACGGTTTCAAGCAGCGTGGATTTCCACTGACAATTCTCTTCTTCCTCAACCATTTTCCCAGCCAGGCCAAATGGCAGTTACAATTAAAGGCATTAGCCAGCAAATTACTGAAATGGAACAAGACACAATTGCATCAAACACAAACATACAGAAATACTGAAATAACTACAGAAAGATGATGGGCTTCAAGTCCAAGCTCTTTCCTGCCATCTGTTTCTGTGAGATCCTCCTCTGTTCTACACATCAGGGAGGTTCTATGCAGGTTTCAGGTACAGTTGCAGCCCAGCTGTGATACCATGGTGTGCAGCAACCAACCATTTGACAGCCTTTGTGAGAGGGATGGATTCTTAACATAGCTTAGGTTAACGGCATTTAAAAAAGGAAAGCCCTATCCATCCTGTTGTCAAGCCATGAAAACACAGACGTATAGTAATTTCCCAGAGGAGCACCTGCAACATAGATAATCAGTATAGAAACAATATTATTCATTTTTGTTTTTTAATAGGTTGTGATCCTTTGAATGAAAGGAGTTTAAGGTGACAGTTATTTTAAGCAATCAATTTTCTAAGCTAACCAGAATTAGTGCTGAGAATCTTAGAAAAAAAAATTCTCAAGTCCTGTACAGAAATGCATTACCTTAATCTGTAAGTTTTTTATGACTGAACTTCAGATGAAGGAAAGAGGCCGATATGCCTGGTAAAAAAAGGCTGACTATTTTATGTACAAAGACAGGGTGCATCAATAGCCATGGTCTGAGATTGCCTCATCGAAGAAAATGAACTGACAGAGCCCTAGATATGGAAAATGAGGTATCTAACACTGATGGAATTCTCACATATATGTGAATATGTCCAAGAGTTATTATTTTGGTAGTACAGAAAAAAAAGATGATAATGAAATTTCTCTAAAGTATAGCATATCTTAAAACAACAAAAAAAATTAAGGCCTTAAAGAAACAGGCACTTCAAATGCAGGTGTAGTAGCTGAAGGCCTTCTAAGTCTTCACTTGCAACATACTTTTACAAATCTAAACATGTAGTCAAAATCATGTTAGGTTTTCAGCCAAGCAATTCCTTCAGAAAACAACAGTGCTGAAGACAAAAGCATATGGCACAGCTGAGGTGTGGCAGCAAGAAAACAAACCCCAAACCACTTCCTAAATTATATATGTTCTAGGCCAACACCACATACCCACAATACGATTTACAGCTGCTCTCTGCATTGTAAAAAAGCATTCTTCAATCCCTGCGCTAGCCTGGAGCTCTGGGCGTGTATTACGCGTGGATCTAGCACAGGCTAGTGCACGTTGTGTAGAGGGAGAACTGGGGGGAGGAGAAAACTCTGCATAATGTTCAATAATAAAAATAACCAACCTACTTCATGCTGACTAGGGTTCAAAGGCAAGGCTAAGTTGCTGTTAAAGGTGAGAAAATGAACAGGTTACACAGGAGCTTTCAGACAGAATGTGCAGAAAAGCACTGAAAGCATTACTGTAATTATAGTTCCTTTCCTTCTGATTTTTTTTTCCATTTCCTTTAATCCATAATGGGACAACATGCAAGATGCTTTGTAAATTTTCCATACTGACATACTTTGGCATGAACAGAGTGTTTAAACCAAATGTTTAAACCTCCAACACTAAGTGAACCAATGCTTCAAAGGCCATTTGTTCCAGTGGTGGAAGGGAGTGAGATCACACTCACAGAACAACCTCCGTGACACAAATCCTTACAATGAAATTATCCACAACTGGAAACAAACAGCAGGTGTATATCATCAGGTTTCTGGAAAACCAGCAGCTCTGAATGTGAAGAACATTTTGCACATCTAGAGAGCATCTTATCAGGACATATCAAAATTTTCAGAAACATTCAATCTACAGAATGCTCCAATCAAAATAGTAATTACCCCTTTCTACAGAGGAGAGGTTGCTTTGACTTCATGCATTACTGCTCACTAGCTGAGCAGCAGTAACTATCCACAAACCCTCATTTTCTTCTTGGCATACACAGGCTTACATATGACCTAAAATGTATTAAATCCTTGGCATAGAATTTCAATTATGCTTTTCTTAGGAAATAAGAAAGAAATCAGTTGTTACCTCTAAAATTAATAAACAAATCTACTGCTTTGAGATTCAAATAACTCTGGGTAAAAAAGGATAAACGTATCTTGTCATGCATTACACACGTCCTCCTGCCACTTCAGAAACACCTAGATTTTGTCCTCTGTCCAGCTACAGAGCAGTGATTTTTTTTGCCTTAATGTAGTACGAAGTTCATGCGTGTCCTTACCTACATGCTCCTTCCATGGCAAGACTGTGATGCAACTTTTGGAAAAAATGTAAGAGCAAGGCTTTCTGTAAAGTATCATGTGGGACTAGAGATTCCCTACTTCACTTTAAAAGCAATTGGAAGCCTGGAAAGGCCAATTATTTGCAAAAGCTTTATTTTGGAATTTGGCTATTCAAGTGGAGTTCTCAAATCACAAACAGTAACATTGGGCAGACAAATGGTTACAAAAATTCAAAATTAGTAATCAGAGTTCCTACACGTAAGATAGTGATTTAACCACTCAAACAGAAACAAAGCAATCAAGCTTTTAGCCAAGATGAGGCACTAACTCAGAAGTGTTTACTCAAGGACATAGGCATATTTTTAATATTAAGGGGGAACAGAAGTCTTGAGGAACAAAATACAAGTGTCTCTTAAAAACTGCAAAGTTGTCATAGAATATTAATTATTTAAATGAAGTCTTGTGACCTGTTAGAAAAACACGCTGAACTCATCTGGATATTGTTGAAATTAGCTTGAAAATATATCTTGGAATTCAGGTTAAGTTTATACTAGAATAGTTGCACGTCATTCTGATGAACCAGTTATCATTCTGGCATTAGCTCCATGCAGCTATTATAATAACAATTCATGGAAAACCAATTCTGCTTGCAAGTATGCCCACTTGATTGTATAAGGACTGAAAGACATGACAGAACTCCATGTATGCAGAAGTGCAAGCACACTTCAAATTAGGATGCTACAGTACCTAATTTAACTAGCAACAAATAAAAACCTGCTATTTTACCAATAGCTTACAAACTAGATGTTCTTCCTCTATTGAAAACCATTAGTCATGGCATTATTTTCAGAGCTGTCCATGTTTTGATAATATCAGTGACGCTGACTCACAAGGAGTAATAACAAAAGGAGCAATATTTTTTAGTGCTGTAAACATGCCAAGATAAAAATGGAAACGTTAAACGTTATATGAATTTCTGGCTCACATTAGTACATGTAAAAATAAGTCATTACAATACCCGGTTAACTGACAAAGTGTAGGCTGAACAGGAAAAGCAGCCTTACTATCTATCTTCAGTAGTGTTGTCATCTAATATATCCACCTACAACGGAGTACTGCTAGGAAATGAACACGTCTGACTTTTGCTTTTATATGTGAAATATCACTATGGCTTTAAATCAATGTCTGAAGAAGTCAAAAGCCCACCTTCTCCTATCTGTAGATCAAGCATAAAGTGAAAATGTGCCAAAGAACACACTTTTTCATCAAGACACAGCTAGGAACCTGCCATGACCGACAGGATTATAAGTCAGTGCCAAAGCAATGCATTCTAATTAGCAGCAGCTTTAATTGCCATTGCTAGAAATTGTATAATCTCTATCCACAGCTGAAAAAAAGAAGAAAATGGGTTATCTTCTAACAGAACATGACAAAGACGCTTCTATGCAAGGTAGGGACTTCACAGACTGATTCAGAGAGTCACAGCTATCAGGGGATGTATGGAAGGCAGCACAGAGTCAATTGTGTGAGAAGCCAGCAGGCATTGCTTGCAGCACAGTGAGAACAAACTTTCAGCAAGTACCACTCACTTTGACCAGTGACTTGAAAACAGTCAATAGAAACAGTCTGGTCGTGTTTCTCTCTTTGTCCATCAATTTCAAGAAGGCTTTTGGGACAACAGAAAGCAAATGGAAAAAAAGTCTGGATTCTTCATGTTGCAGGGAGCTCATGCCAAAATAACTGGTTTGCGGGTGAAAAGTTTTTTGAAACAACAAAATAAAAGTGTGAGCAACAAAACAGCTGAAATTCAACATTCCTTTCTTCCCCCCAACATGATGGAGAATGCTTTCAAAACCGGAGATGCAAGAGCACCAACAGTTTATTTTGACTGGACAATTAGGATGTGTTTTCAGGGCAGTGTGAAGGGAATTAAGTTCCATTAACAGCAACATCAAGGACCCCATTCACAGCTGGTAACAGAGAGCAGACTTTCTTTCCATATTTATCAGTCTGTACTTTATTAAAATGGACACACTACAAAAAGAATGTAAACATATTTAAGAAGGGAAATACTTCAAAGAAGGATTGAGAAATATAAGAGAACTGTCAGAAAAGTTTAGGTTGGGATTTTCATATTCACATTCAGTAAAACGTATTTTGTCCTTTTAGGCTCGTCTGAAAACCTAAGCATTAGCTAGCAGATTTCTTCTCATATTTAACTAATTTAACTGAAAGCTGGTCTTTCCAAAATTAGACTCTACTGAAATTAAAGCAGCTTCAGGGAGCTAAAGTCTATGATAAGCTATGCAGTTCTGAATCTGCAGAGATTGTTTTACATGAACATCTACTGTGCACTGCACTAGGCTATGACACGGCAAAACACAGTCATGCTGCCGGAGGCTAGCAACCTCAAAGTTTTTTTCAGCCACTTCAGCTGATGCAATTAAAATGTTTTTCTAAATCAAACCTTGAATCCTCCAAACCTGTGATTTCAGTAGGATAAGGTTTTCCTTCCCTAAATGAGGTTTTCCATATATGAACAATAAGAAGTTTGATTTTGAAACTCAAACGTTGTCTTCTTAAAAGGAAAGCATGGAATAACAGCATCATGACATGTTCATATCATAAGAGGATAACTTACATTGTAGACAAAGAGACCAATGTGCTGAAGGCTCCAGGGGTGATAGTGCTGATGTGATTGTCATACAGAGAAAGAAGCCTCACTGAGCTCAGTCCAGCAAAGGTATCATTGTTTACACAGCTGATCGAGTTGCTCCTCAGCATCCTGCAAGGATTAAAACAGGGAATTAGGAACTACTGGGAGGGGGCATAACTTCAGGATAGGAGGTCCTTTATCTTGGGCATCAACAGATGCTTTGGCAAGCACTGTACTCTATTTCTATTGATTGCTGAAGTATCACACAGCTATAGGAGGGCTGGATTCATGTAAACATTGTCTCATGAATTTTAAACACATTTTTTTTTTCACACATCAGAGGCTGATGGGAGCTCCACATCTGAAAGTAGTACGCAATTAAAATTATGACTAGTGGCAAACCTGAAATAAAAACTTAAGTCTTAATTTAGTAAATATCTGAGAGCAAGTGAAGATGTATTTCAGAGATCAATTGAGAAAGACTGCCAGAAATGTGTGACAATAACAATACTAGCTGCATTATTTCTACTCCTATCATGGACGTTTTTTGTAATCCACACTGGAAAAGTATGGAAGGAAACAGCATCCTCAACAGAAATCAAGGAATAGTTTAGGAAAGATTTCCAGACCTAACATGAGCTCTGAAATGTCATTATGATCATTAATTGACGAGACAGAAGGCAGTAACCACCCTATAAAATGGTCTTTGCTCAGTGCTTGTACCAGATGAATCAGTGCTGTGTTTCGGAAGATACATCTCTCTGTGTTGTTATGGTAACAATGAACTCGATGATAAAGCCCAATTAATCTGAAAGACTGTAGTATCTTGTTTCACTTCATAGCAAAAAAGGCTCATGTGTATTTGTTACACTGCATGACAATCAACATCTGGGTCTGTAAACATCACTACACAGTTGTGATATTGCTACTTAGGTGAAAAATTATTCAGTAATCAAAGCATCCACAAAATACATGCAGCTCATGCTGCTGTTCCAGTGAATTGATCCTCCAAATCGAGGAGGGTCAATTCGTTGCTATCAAATTCATGCAGTGAACAATGAAAATTCAGACTCCCTTAGAAGTCTGGATTTAAATCTCAGATTGGTATCTGTCAGCTGGGCGTTCAGATGCTACATAAATGGATACTTGAAAAACATCAGAGGCTGGGAATAAATTCACAGTGTAATCACAAACACTCGGTGTTGCAGACCTGAACATTACACTGCCTTTGCATCACTGTTCTCTATGTACAGTTACCATCACAGGCCCTACGGTATCAATAGTTTTGGTATCGCAACTGGGCTGAAACTGTGTCAGAAAGAGTCACAGGGCACAGAGACAACACACCTTACATGTGGAGTTCTCAGCTGCCTGAAAGCCAGGTCAAGACCACAAGCTCTGAAATGAACAGGGTAGTAAACAAGAGAAGCAAGGCCCTTAGTGGCTTAGTAGCAGTAGGAAACATTTTCTCAATTCTGTATGTAAAGCATCAGGCAGTAATATCGCAAGACGGGATGACCAAATTTGGATGCCAATATATCTTGCACTGCAATTTATTCCACTTCAGGAAACATACAGTCTTTCAAAAACCAGACCGTGACCCTCTCCAATGTGGCCTCTTTGTAAAAGACCACAATTTTAATGCTCAAAGAAAGTCAACTAATGGATAGAAATATATGTCCCTCAAGCCAAAACCTTTGGTTTTGTATCATGGTTCACCATGCACTGTGTGCCCTTCCTGAAGGAAAACTAATACTTACAGATCCTCGTGTCATGCTGTGTATATTTAGACCTCTCCATCAGCTAGGGAGAAATGTAGGTCAGGTCAGCAGGATAGCTTGAATGTTAAGCACTTTTTTATTAAACAATGCTGAATTTTGTTTAGGAGCACTGCCACAGGCTGCTTTACAGTATAAAAATTAATTTAGTATCTATGGACAGTATTTTCAAATTGCCTAGTAAAATGCATACATTAAAGAACAGATGGCTGTAGCCACAGAAAAAAAATGTTAAAGGAACAGCAAAATAAAAGTTCCCTATTTGTCATTACAGGCCAAAGTCCTCAAAGTGCAACCTGTATTTCTTTTTATACTTGAGTAAGGACTGAAGCAATTGTGCCATGACAATTTGCAACATACGAAATATTTGCTGCTAGTGAATAAATTGCAGATTTTAAATTGCATTTTGATTCCTAGAGTCTGTTTACCGACTGCATCCACCTAGTCAAGTCCTTTCTTTGTGCAGCAGGGAAGACTATGCAAGAGTACATATTTTTCACGCACAGATCATCCATCTCATCTGGCATGAGTCTCTGCTGTCACCAGAAGCCTAGTCCCTGACTGCTTCTCAGGATGGTGGATGGAGTGGATTAGACACCATCTGGAAACCTTGTCTGTGATCCTCCTTCCCATACAACTTTCAACATGAAAATAAATTAGTGTTAGGTACTACGAGTTTATGTATTAGTTAGTTCTCCAAAATAAATTACATTGGTTGTCTAAGCACAAAAGTACTACCAAACTGATTTCTTATGGACTGTATGTCTCCTTAACAATCTCCCCAACCACCACCACATTAATAGACATAATTTTTATGGTACTTGGTGTGGGCAAGAGAGACCACACTGTGGCTAGTCCAAAGCCATGCCTGTGCTCGTGGGCTGCTGCCCCTGCTGCAGAGTGAGTGGCCAGCTATCTTCTGTCAGCAGGACACGCAACAGTTTGCTTATGCCTGCCTTACAGTTGCTTAGCTATACCTGTTCTGGTGGCAGCAACAACTCGAGTCTTTCTTCTCTCCCTATCTATTGATTTCATATAGTTTGTAGGATATTAAAAATCTTTTAGGCTTCTAGCCTACTGTGAGGTGTGGTTTAAGCAGACCAACAATCCCATTTGGGTTGAGGCAGAGTGGGAGGATGGACTAATAGCAAACATGTTCCTACATGCCTTGTTTCCATAGGAAAGGACAAAGTAAAAAAAAAAAAGTATTAAATGATTAAAAGTGCCCAAATTTGACCCATGACAGGTTCACCATCATGCTACTCCAGAAATTCTTGAAAATCTGTTTTTTTCACAGAAATAGCAGCTAAATCTCAAACCTACCCAGGACTACAAATATATTGAAGACTTCATGACAGTGACACAAAACCCTGCCTTAGAGCTTGCTGCCCAGTAACAGGTACTTTAGCAGGCATTGCTGAACTTGCGCACACCCACCCAACTTAGAGAGGAACAGAGAAAGAGAGATCTTTGCACTTACAATGTCTTTAGCCCTGTGAGGCCTCTAAACATTCGTCCATGCACTGATTCCAGTTGATTCTCTGTCAGAATCAGTTCCTGCACTCCTGAAGCTCCATCAAATGTGCCTTCTCGGATCTCCTTGATCTTATTGTTGCTTAGATTTCTGGAAGGACACAACCAGTCATACAATAAGAAAATTCTTAGTGTTTTATTCCAAAAATATGTTATCACACCGGAAGGAGGAAGATAGGGAGAATATGTTCCTGATTGTCTGGTTGTCTAGAGAGAAATTTATTCATCAAGGAAAACATACAGAAGTTCAAAATAGCTCCCCTTCACTCAACAAAACCACAATTATAATGGATATATCAAAAGTATTTAAATTAATAGAATTACCAGCTCTGACACCTCATGTCGTTCTTGCTTATAAGGATCTCAGAAATACTCAGAAAAATCTCAGAAAAGTGGGGGTTTCTAACATCTGATTTATGTCCATGAAGTTATGGACCATGCTTGGGACTGGGTGCTCACCTGGCAAGAATCAGTTAATGTTACAACCATGGAAACAGGTACCACAGACTGCAATACGGACCACTTTCGTTTAGTGTACCAGCACCTTTACTCTTTTCAAACTCAGCACTGGAGTAACGTACAAAGCTGTGTGACTGCATGTATCTGATACAAACTTGAATATCTGCACTCATGAACCCCCAGGCACTTAAATTTAACGCCACCACTCGCAGTGAGTATCACTTAATTCTCAATTCACAGCTACAGCATTATTTTCTAAATATTTACTCTGCCTATACAGTCTCAAGATGTTTGCTTATAGACCATCATTGGAAAATGTCAATATAGAAAGTCAGATGAAGTTCTGATGAAATGCAAGATTAATCTTTTGAATATTTCATATTCATGAAAAATCCAGTGAATTGAAAACTTTTGAATGATGAAATGCTATTAGAGATGCATAAAAACAAATGGCATTTAATTATTTAAAACATTTATATGAAAGGCTTTAAGTATATTAAAACCTTGGGCCTCAGTCCTTCAAACATCTCCCATGATGCCCTTTATAGGTTACGATGAATACACTATTTTATTAGGTTTATGACAGGAAACACTACTCTTTGTTTTCCTGTCTTCAACAAAAAAAGGGAAAGTAAAAGATATGCTCTTCCTCCCCTGAAGATGCCAAATTCCAACACTATTGCTCATACTGAATAGCACATTATTCCAAAAATGATCCCAGTACACACGCAGCATGAGTAATAGTTTCAAAATCCAATTCCAGGTGATATAAAACAACTGACAAGGTATCAGATTAACACTTGGGCTGCTCTGCTCAAAAGAACAGGCAATCTCCTCGGGATAAAAGTTGACAGAAGACATGGCAACAGGACAGCTTGGCCTCGGACAGAAATAATGTGGGTCTTGCTCTTTGCAGGAGTCATCACTTAATAAAAAAAAAAAAAAGGTTGTATCTTGGAGATATGTTTCATGTGGGAAACTTGAGTACTCTGGTTTATGTCTGCTGAACAACTGTCAGATAGCGGGCCCTACAGCATGTGGCCCATCACCTCCTGTGCATTCTGTGATCAGAAAGAATAGGAGCATGCCAGCAATCAGCCAAAAATAACATAAAAACATATAGAAATACTTACATGCAGATTTTGCTTTCCAGAAGTTTAGTACTTTGTCCTAACACTCACATGAAGAGTTTATGTTCAGTGTCAAAGCAAGTCAGGGAAGGATATTCTGACATATGCATTTAATTTTGGGGCTCAGCTAATTCTCTGGTGGAAATGTTTATAGCTCAGCATCTCTTTTGAATGCTGGCATAAATAAATGCTCCCAACGATCTTTTTCTTGGTAAAGATCATGGCACGATGCATATTTGCACAAAAATAAATGAATAAGTAAATGGTTGTGGTGGGAAGGGAACGTGAGTTACTATAATCCACAAAGACTCTGATTTTCAATTCACAGATTGCAAACTGACCCGTACTTGCAGTTACAAAGTTTTTAGTTAGCTTTTACCATCTAAAAGATATTTAGCCACATATACTAAAATGTGTGTGCAATTTTAACAGATTATTAGATACTCATGGCAAAAAAAGAGCAAATATTGGAGAAAAAGGCTGGCTGTAATTTGCAAAGGAATTGGCACCTTTATACAGTCCAAACCATCTGAATTTTAACTGTTGCCAAAGAACTTCTGTAGGTAAGGAACTTCACTCATTTAAGTTAACCCTGCCCGATCATTTCAGCAACACAAAATTATCCAACGATATGCTAGCTGTTTCAGAAGAAGCCAATCATATATACCTTTCCCATACAAAAGATTTGAAAATCCAAGATTAAATGCTATGGTGAAATCAAAGTTGCAAGGAAGAGAGAAGACAAGCTTTATAATCATAAACTGGCAAAGACAGCACTGCTCCGCAATCCTGCTTGGAGTATTGTCGAAGTAGATGTTCTGACAACTTGGATTTCTTTATTTGTCTTCCTGAATTAAAGCTTCCCATAACACAATGCAACAACAACAAAAATGGTAGATGACAGCACTCATTTGCTTAAAAAAAGTATCCTCCTTAAAGTCTGACCTACTAGAACAATAAACATCAGAAATCACATACTTTGCAGTCTAGAATTACCAATAAAAATAATCAGCTGATATGAACCCTGAAAAAATGAAAGCAGTGAAACTTGTGCCTGCTCTGCAAGTCAGAGAGCTGTACCCCGTCCTTCCCAGCACTAAAAGAATCTTTCGTATACAATCTAGTACTTCACAAGGCTTTTTTTTTTTTTTAATCAGAGTAAAACTTCTGACAGACTTTAAGCAAACTCCCATTATAGGAAAACCCCACTCTCTTGCAACACTAAGCTTCTATAATGCATTCTTCTTGAAATACTGGAAGACAGTGGAAAGAAAATGAGTCTTGAGTATTCCCCAAGATACCTATGCCCTCCGGAAGGACCCAAATGGGAACTTACAGTCAACCTGGTCACTCAGGAAAGGTTATCGTTTCCATAAGAACTCCCTTATTTACCCTGGTGATAACATTTAATCCCATTTCCAGACTTTTATTTTGGGCAAGAGGTCAAAATAAATTTTCAGAAAGCCTGGGTTTAGTTTACTTGGGGCTGTGAACAGGAAATGAACAGATCGAGGAAGGTATCAAGGTGACATTGGTCACACAGCTCACTTTTTGGTCAGATTTTATTCACTTCATGGCTAAAGTTTATAATAATATTTCTGTTGATCTTATAGCTTCAACACAGAACAAGCTGGATCCCATTCAGACTTAACAGACCCATTCATCGTGCTGTACCTGCTGGGTCAATGTTAATGTTCCAGCATGCTATTCATCACTGGGTTACCGACACACCTTCCCACGAGAACAACCACCCGAGCGCAGCCCGACTGCAAGGGCTCTCCTTGCTCTCACCCTGAACCTTGTTGTTTCATCACACTGCCTATTCTATTGCCCTAGAATATTTCTGTCTGCTGGTGATGCATTTGGAATTTTTAAATATATGTTATGTGGAAAACACCAAGGCTGTTGCATTCTTCTGGAGGATGCTGAGAAAGTTTTATAGCTTTTACCAACAGTCTGGCTGGCCTTCATAGAGTGAGCTGTTCTCAGAAGCAGGATGGCACTGAAAGTCTTAAATACAACAGACAGACAGTGAAGTACACCCAGTGCCACTCCTACATTCGTTCAGCAGAGCAGACTGATGGCCTCACTGGAATAAAACAGAGGCATACGACGAGCTCAAATGCCATGTACTGCAACACTCTACAACATCATTTCCAGAAAATAAAGTACATTTCTGTATAACAAGCGATGGATGACTGCAACCTCAATTGCCATGGCAAAATTTATGCTTAGGGGAAAGAGCAGCAGGTAACAGCTGTTTCCAAGGACACAAACTACTTTTACCTCCCTGAGAAACCTGAGATTCTGTTTTTGAAACTGACTTCCAGTCTGCAAACTTTATCATGATTCAATTTTATTTCACATGTAAAATGTGTTAAATCCTGGGCTGACACTCCATGCAATTCAACGTCGGAGAAATATTTACAGACAAATTAAGCCTCCAAAGGCAATTACATACTAGAGGTGGGGTTGGCAGTACCAGCTATTGCCAAGACAGCCTGACACCTCCTATTATAAGACCATATTTTATGTTCAACTTTGTAACTTTGGCAAGATTTAACAGAATGAACTGTTAGATATTCCTTTCAGGTTTTGAGGTAAATATTTTTTATTGTTCTTGCTCTCTGAGAAAAGAGGTCAGTCCCTTTTCTCCCCAGCAGTGCATGAAATATGGCAGTTCACCTTTTTATTTTGAATGTGAGCTCATTGCCGATTTTCTTCTCTGCAGAAACAGCTGCCGGGACCTCCCTGGGAATGGTTAAGTCCCACTGATTCCTGTTGGCACTGGGGAGGAGGCAGGCTCTGGAGCTGACATCTGGGAGCTGCAGCTTCTCCCTATGAGTTCTCTGCTCATTTCAGCAAGCAAGCGTACCTCTGTGCTCCCACTGAGTTCGGTACCCAGGGGGTTTGAAGCTTGAACCTGTCTGCCACAGCCAAAAGACCCCTCCAGGCTTCCACCGCCATGGGAGTCCCCAAGCACTGGAGGGGCTTTCCACTGATAAACAACCTGAGGTAGTCCCAGAGAGTCCTGGGGTCCTCAGTGTTTGCTTCATGCTAAATTTGGTAGTTGCTGTGAGCAAATAACTGCTTCCTTTCACAAAAGTCAAAACTTTACCTCTGTGAAGGGTAGTGTTGCCCCACAGCCCTGCCTGATGCGAGATCTTGCTGTGTTGAGTGAGGTCTCCCACTGGTAACACAGAAGCTTCCAGCTCCCAGGGGTGGAAGGCAGCAGGTTCTGGAGCCTTTCTATCTCACAAGGATAGGATACCCCCAAAATCCTAAGTCATGGAGCTGCTCCCACCCTTACAGAGCTCAGAAGCACTCCCCTGTATTTCTCCTGCATTTCAAGCAGATTCACATTGTTCTTTCTGTTCTAACCATCCTACAAAGTACTAGCAACACAGTTCTTGGAGCCTGCAAGTCACTGTAACGTGACTTCAGCTTTCAGAGACAAGTCCTCCCTTTACACTTTCAAGATCAGGTGAGGTAATATGGTAAGAACGCAATGAAAGCAACACAGAGTTCAGGGCATTTGCAAAAGCCACTGGAGAAACCAGTAAGTTACTTCTGGAGCAGGTTAGATCTGTCTAGAGCAATCTACATCAACCTTTTTATTCCACTGTAAAAAGCATTAAACATAAAGTTGGATTAAAATTTAGGTTATGAAAATAGCATTATATGTATGGAATTTTGCAGCTAATTATTGAAGTTGATTTTATTTTTTTAAAGGCATATGCAGACACATTAACCTTTTAAAAACCAGCAAGGTGATCTTAGCAATTTAATTCCTAAATAAAACGCGGCATAACTTTGCATTATGGATCTGTGACCTTTAAATTTCTATATCAAGAATTCAACTTTGTTTTGCATTAAAATGTATCCTGGGCTGACACATCATACAATAAGATTCAGCTTAGGAGGAATATTTACAGAAAACTACATCCCAAAAGCTAATTGTATATTAGAGACGAGGGTGGCAGTACCACCTGATGCAAAGGTGGTCTGACACTTCCCATTTTTTTTAATGTTTGCTTTATAACATCAGGAAGATTTAAAACAATGAACTATCAGGTGCCCTTTTCATGTTTAGGAGTAGATACTTTTTAGATTTTTTTTAGATTGGTACTCTTAAAGCAGTTTCTTTGCAAATTTCCTTGACACAGACCTGTCACTAGTCTTAAACGCAAGTGAAGGACAATCACAGGGCAATCGTTCAAACGCCCATTTAGATATCCAGATTCCAGATACTCACATTCATTTCAGAAGAAAGAGATTACAGAGTTTAAATAAAGAAAAAACAACAACAAAAAAAGGTTATTTAGGGTAATGGTCTGCCACTGCTAAACTCTGAAATGTTTTCTTAAGCATAGGAAGCAGTGCAATTTCCAGACAGATTCCTCCAATTGCAGTTTTCCTTTAGCACTTGAACAGACAATGAATATGATGAGACAGAGTCAATATTGTCAATCAAATAACAGTAAATTTCTTGTCCCTGATACACAATGAAAAATGGGGGTTTGATCAACATTTTTCCTCCTTAATTTAATAGCAACAATAAGCAGTAAGACAATGCAGAGCACACGCATTACAGTCCTGCCACGCATACAGACATGATGCATAAGGACCATTAACAGTGGCGGTTC